CAACACAATGAAAGTCACAACTACAATGTTTGAACAAAAAGTAGAGGGCCCATGAGAGAGCCCTGTGGAACTCCACACCAGTAAGAAAACACAAACCCCCCAATCTGGTCTCTCTATTACATTTTTATAAATCAAGGGGTAGTAAAATAGTTCAGGTCGAGCCTTTAAAGGCTTTTTAAACATGTGTACTCATGTTTTCTGACTAAAGTAACCATTTTCAGAACTATATAATTGTATGCGGTTTATTTTAACATGCAGTTTCTCATTAAACCACAAAACTGTCTGTGTCACAGTGAAGGATCCCTCTATCATTCTTAATCTGATACTGTCAAACATCCAGATGCCGTTACCAAAAAGTACTTATACAGAAATGTATTATATTTAAAAAAAAAAAAAAAAGGAGTATCACCACTTTGATGTACAATTGTTCAGGATTAAATTATCAAACTGTTTGTGTATACGTCTGTAAACATAATTATTTCTGCTGTAAAGTTTTAACATGTGAATCTATGAGGAGTGACTCACTGCTGGATATTAGTGGAATTATTGGTTTTCATCAACAATCATTTGACTTAAATGTTTTAGGGATTTTTTTTCTCAGAAGTGAACATTTTTCACTACGGGACTCAAAAGTGAAACCTTCAGATTTATAAGTTAAAACTCTTCTTGTTCTAAATGTAAATTTTGGGTTCCAACAAACAGACGTGATCACATCTTTTATTCATTTTATTGAGAATCGCTTTTCCTTCCCCTGCAGCTTTGAACCCACCGTCCAGCTTCAGTCCCGCTGTGAGCAGGCGTCGTGTTCCTCCTACAGTCTCTGCTGAGATTATTTTAAAGGTCAGTACAAAAGTGGCGACATCGCATTCAGCGTCATAAAGCGTCGTAGTCGTCGTCGTCTTCATGCTTCCTCTTCAGCGACTCTCCGCCGGAGTTCTGTGACACCATGTTGGTCGTAATGAGGATGTTCTTGGAGCCAATCAGAGATGGGTTGATGAGGACGTTGGAGACAGCGGGTGTGGATGGCGTTGCTATGGGGACAGAGCGAGCATCGAGGTTTTTATATGAGTAAACTGTTCATTTAAACGTGATTCTGTTTGGCTGTTAAAATGTTTATCTGGACAGATTTTTGTCCTTGTGTTCAGGAGTTGGTGGAGAACTTTTTAACGGTTTCTTCCACATTAAAGTGTTTTTCACAGATATTCTTACGTCTGACTCTTGTTCCATCAAAGCATGAAGCAAAAAATAAAACGGGTCTGTTCTTACTGGGTTTGGTGGTGGTCGTCTGAGAGGGCGGCGGGATCTGCACAGTGA